CACATTCATTCAGTTAATCCTCACTGTGACCCCACAAGGTAGGTACAGTACCATCCACCTTTTTAAAAATATTTTATTGATTTTTTACAGAGAGGAAGGGAGAGGAATAGAGAATTAGAAACATCGATGAGAGAGAAACATCGATCAGCTGCCTCCTGCACTCTCCCCACCAGGATGTGCCTGCAACCAAGGTACATGCCCTTGACCGGAATTGAACCTGGGACCCTTCAGTCTGCAGGCCGACGCTCTATCCACTGAGTCAAACTGGTTAGGGCACATCCACCTTTTTTGTAGAGGAGGGATCTGAGGCTCAGAGAGGTTAAGCATCTGGCACAGGGTCACACAGCAGGATCTAGAGATGGTACTTTTTACCACTAAACCATGTTAAATGTGGGCCCCCTGCTCCTCCAGGAGACACAGGGTTGGAGCTGGCAGGCACGAGGATCTCCCTGCTATGGCAGGACTGCACTGGGGCGGGGATTTCTACAGCCTTGCTGGGTCCTGACCAGGAGGAGGCAGCGACCCTGTTCTGTGTAGCCCACACTCCAGCCCCCCAGGGCCATCCCAATACCCAGAGGCATTGAGGACATTCTCTGCCTCTCCCAGGACTGTGAAAGCCAAGGGAGGAGAGCGGGTGTGGTGGGCAGTGACTTCCCCTGGCCAGACCAGCTCATTTGCATATCCCGCAGCGTGTGGCAGAAGTAATGAGAACAGTTAAGCAGCGGGCACTGCTACATGTGCTTTACCTGTAAGGGGTTCTTTAATCCTCCTCAGAACCCTAGGGAATAGGAGCAGTTATTATTCCATTTCCACCTCAGGAGAAACAGGCACAGAAGACAACTGCCTTGTCCAAGGTCATGTAATCAATGAATGGTAGAGGTAGGATTCAAACCCAGGCAGTTTGCAGCCAGTTTCACACAAACCTCTGGGGGCTCAGAGCTGGGCTCAAATCCCCACTCTGGGTTAATGCTGTTTTCAGCACTAAATGAGAAAGCGATGGCCGGTGCTGGGCATGGAGTACCTGACATTGAAAAAATGCTCCCCTGCTTCCTTCCAACCCGAATATTACTTGGCTCCCAGAGTGGGGGCTGACCTGAGAGTCTGGACCTGTTCCACCTCCAGACTGTGGCCAGGCTGCGGTGGGGACTGGGAAAGGTGGGTGGATAGGAGAGGGGAGTGGGCTTTAACTGGCCCCTCCAGGCCCCACTGCCACAGCTTCCTGAGGCCAGAGGAGTAGGGGAGGGAGGGGGTAGTTTGGGGAAAATCCTGAGTCTACTGGGGATGCTGATCCAGGCTCTGGCCTAAGGCCCAGCTGCCTACGGCAGAAAGCCTGGGGACAAGCCAGGCAGGCCAAGCACCTGGACAGCAGAGCTGGGAAGGAAGAGGGCCTCGGGCCAGGCCACCCTCGGGCACAGCCAGGGGCCAAGGTACTGGGAGGGCCCACACAGGCCCTCAGGCTTGAACCCCAGCCACTGCACCTGGACTCCTCCCTGCTCTAAAGCACCACACAGCACTGCCTCTCAAACACCCGCTTCCCCTTTCATGGGGATACACCAAAGCCTATGGCCTTCCCAGACAGGCTATAGGAAAAGCAAGGTGGTTACCGAGGTTTAGTCTCCCACCAGCCAGTGCAACTTTAAATAAGAGCCAATAGTTACTGAGCACTTTTCACGTGCTGGACCAGGTCCTAGGCCCTTTGCATGCTTTAACTCACTCGCCCTGATGACCCTGAGGTAGGCATTATCCTTGTTTTCCACAGGATTAAGCCAAGCTCAGAGAGGTTAAATGACTTGCCTAAGGTCACACAGCAGCTAAGTGGGATTCAAACCCAGGCAAGGTCTAGAGCCTGTGCTCTCAGCTATGGTGCTCTGCTGTCCCTCCAGCGTAGGGCTGCTGTAGACCTTCATCCAGGAAGGCGACACACTCCCTTCCAGGGCCATGCCGAGTGCCTGGTCCCAGCGCTGGCCTCTGCCCCCTGGCCCAGCTACTTGGCAACGCCCATTGGTTTCACTCATGTTTAGGGAATGCGATATTTTTGAGTGACTTCTGAATCTAGGCCCCCCATCCCTCCTGCCTGACTCAAACTAGAGCAGCTTGGTCTCAAGCCCTAGAAAGTCAGAACAAAGAGGAAGCTTATGGCTTCCGATTCCTTTCTGACGCATGGGTAAACTGAGCCCAGAGTGTAGTCCTCCCCCAAGAATCTTCAGCAAGACCTGAGCCTAGGATCTTGAACTTCTGCTCCTGGGAAAGTGAGACAGTTAAACCAAGTTGTTGGCAGCTGAACCCTTCTAGCATAGGGGAGGGGCACAAGATGGGCAAAGAGGAGAAAGTGGGCCAGGCTACTGATATTCTGGCTGGAATTCGGGCTCACTTCATCACAGCCTTAGGACCCCAGAGGGGTGCTGCTCCGTGCATGTTCTAATGAGGCCATGGGGGAGGTAGAGAATACCCCTGTGTGCAAGACACATCCAGGCAAAGGTCACCCACAGAGCAAACACTTTCTGGCCTCCACCCCAAGCCTGCAGAGCCAGCTGCCTATTATGTTATTGAGTGAGCAGGCCAGGTGGGGTCGGGGGCAGGCTGGAGTGTGGTGCTCTGTCTAAAGGTCAGCACTGTCACTCTGGCTCTTGCCTCAGCTCGCCACATCATCTGCTTTTTCAATAGGATCCAAAAATCAATATTTGTATGTGAAATTCTTGTGTGCGTTTTTTTAGCATTGGCAACAAATGCAAATATGAGGAAAAACACTGTTCGGATCATCAAAATGTGTCTAGAAGCTTTATTTTATAACGTGTTGTATATTATGCTGGGTCTGGGGCTAGACAAGACAGATCTGGTCCCATGTCCTGGAGCTCAGGGACTAGATGTGGAGACAAATGCTCACAGCACATGTGGACAAATTCTACTGTCTCCAGGGCCCCAATGCAGCTCTCCACTCTGTGAGCCCAGGCCAGATAAAAAGGGGAGGTAGAGGCAGAGAGCTGCTCCTGAGCCATCCAATAATGTAGCTTTTCAAGTTAGGGAACAGCACCAGGTGACGGAGGGAGTGAGGGAGGGGACAGGGAGATGAGCCAGAGGTGAAGTAGAGGATGATGAGTGAGCAATGGGGGGTGACACTGGGGAGGCGGCTGAGGGCCACACTGCACAGCTTTAACTGCGGTTCAGTCCAGACTCAACAGGGAGCCACTGCAAGTTAGTGCGAAGGGGAGGTCTTACTCCCCGCGCCCCTCTGACCTCTTGACGGTTTCCCCTAGTCACAGGGGACTCCCATCTCTGCTTTTCAGTCTCTCCCTCCACTCCCCTGCCTGTGGGTCATGAGGCAAGGCTCTAGGCTCCCGGGAACCCACTGTGGGAATCACTGCAGAGACAGAGAGGACACACCTGGATGCTTCTTGAGGCCCAAATGCGATCTACATCCGCCCCTCCAGCTACAGAGTGAGTGAGTGGCTCCCTCTGTCATCTCTGGGAGATGTCACACGCTTGCCCAAGATCACCCAGTCTTCAGGGCAGCTGGCTCCCCCACAGCCTGTGCTGAGGGGCGTCGCCTCAACTGTCCTTGAATTTGCAGGAGGGGCTGCCAGAGATCCGGCCAGAAGCACCTCCTACCCTTTCCCCTGCTGACCACATCCTCCCCCTTGGGCCAATGCCAGCAGCAGATGGGGTGGGGGTACTTGGCATTGGAAAGGGGGAAGGAGGAATTGGCCACGCAGCCTCAGGGACCCCAAGTCTGCAGCAGGATGGGGATCAAGTGCTTCAGGTGTGGCCTGGGCAAACTGAGAACATCCCAGGGGGCTGACGATCAGGAAAGAAGATGGGATGAAGTGAGAAAGAGAACCTTGGCTCCAGTGCCTGGTGCATCACAGGCACTAGAGTCAGTTTGTTCAATGAAGAGACGAACAAAGAAACTCCTGGGGGGGCTACCTGTACCCAGAGTCCTGCCGGCAGCATTGCTGCTTGCCTGTAGAGGGCAAGAGAGGAGAGACGGGTGGAAACCCCAAAGTGTTTCCTCGGCACCAGTCAGCCCCTTCTGATACAGAATGTCAGAATGTCAGGGTACAGCACCCCCACCTCTCATCGTCCCATGAGCTGCAGGGCCCGGTGGCGGCACTGCCGTGTACACATCCTGGAAAGCTAGCGTGACAATCTAGAACGCCCTTTGGTGTCCGGGACATGCTGACCCAATCGGTTTGGCCCTGGGTGTTTTGGAGGTCAGGTCAGAAGGGAAGGCAGCCCCTGGGGCACCAGGGGACAGAAAGGAGCCTGACCCGAAATGGCTTCTTCATCCAGACTCCCTCCCTCCCTCCCTCCCTCCCCAGAACCAGTGCCTCACTTTGGAAAGGGCTTGCCCCCTCGCTGTCCTGCAGGGAGCACAGGTGGCCTGGGTGAAGACCCCCCATTGTGGCCTGGCTGGGGGGCAGTGGAGTCACAGAGAAAAGAAGGCATTCCCACCCATTCTCCCGAACACATCCATTCCCTGCCCTCTCATAGACAAAGACACACACCCAAAGCCCCAGCCATCACCCTAGGGCCACACACGAGGGGTCCCCTGACCTGTGAACACCCCCAAATCCTCTCCCAGGAGGGACTGCACTTGAGAACTCAGCCTGGCCATGGGGGGTGGGGGTGGGGGGAATACAAATACTCCAAAGACCGAGGATCCAACTGCTCCAGGCTCTCAGGTGTGTGTTTTTTTTTGTGGGGGGAGCGTGCGGGGGGGCGACTCTACCCTCTTTTCCCCTCTCCGTGGCGCACGGTGCTCTGCCACCACCCCTCCCGTGGGGCCGGGAGCTGGGCCCGAACCCCAAGGCTAGGGTGAGAGGTGGGGGAAGGGAGGAGGGGGCGCGGCTCCTCCAAGCGAGACACAAAGAGACGTCCTTCAGCCTCGGCTCCATGGCGACGCTGGGGAGGGGGCAGAGCGCACGCGACAGTACCGTCCCCACCTGCAGGTCGAGGGGCCTCGGGGACCACTCACCTGCAGGGCTCACCTGGGCCTGGCTTACCTGGGCGGGGGCCGCGGGGACGCCGCGGCGGGGGGCCTGGGCGCCGTCTCGGTTCCCGTCAGCCCGGCCCGGGGGCTCAGGGCGCCACCGCCGCCGGCTGGGATGCGAGGGGCGCCGCGAGGGGCTCAGTCGCCGGGTCCTGGAGCTTTGAGTGTGTGTGTGTGTGTGTGTGTGCAGGGGTGTCCCCGAGGCCTCTTGCTGGTGAGGAATAGCTCTTCCGTCCTCAGGTCCCTAGATTTGGGCTTTGTGCGCCGGAACTGGGGGGTCTAGGGCTCCCCGATGCAGGGCGCTCCGCGCCGGGTCTTCGTGCCTTGAGGTGTGGAGTTGTACTGGCCGGGATCTTGAGGGGGGCGCCGCGCTCCCGGACAGGAGGGTCACTGCGTTCTCGGTCTTGGGGGGCGCCCGGACCGAAGAGGGGAGTCTCCGCGGCACCGCAGGGACGTCGCTGTCTCCTGGACACGGAGGAAGTCTTCGCCGTCCCCGGCGGGGAGTCGTTCTGTGTTGGCTCTGGGGGCCTCCCCCCGCTTTCCTGGGGTGCTCTGGGTCTGGGTGCCGTGGGGGATCCCCCCGCTCCCCGGCTGCGGGGGCTCGCTGCGTCCCGGCCGCCCGCAAGCGCTGGGAGGAGGCCCCTCAGCCGCTGGGGGGCTCCGTCGCCGCCGCTACGAGCACCCCGGCCCCGCGGTCCCGGACGCCGGCCCGGTCCGGGCTCTGCCTGCGGCTCGGGCTCGCGCTCCGCCTGGCGCTCCGGCCCCGGTCCCGGCGCCCGCCCGGGCTGCGCTCCATCGCGGCATCGCGGCTCCGCCCTCCGCCCCGCGCGCACCTGCCGGCCCGGCTCGCGGCTCCACCCTCCGCGCCGCGCGCCGCCGCCCCTTTGTCCGTCCCGCTCGGTGCGCGCCCTTGCGCACGCGCACTCGCCCAGCGCGCGCTCTCCCTCCCGCCGCGCCGACCCGCCGAGCGCCGCGGGGCGCCGCTTCTCCCCGCGCGGAGGGAGCAGCGCGCGGCGCCCCCACCCCGCTTTCCGGCCTCGCTGGGTCCTAGCGCCGGTGGGCTTCCTCTCTATCCTGCCATCCCGTCTTTCTAGGTCAGAGCCCACGAGGGGGCGAGAACGAGGTTAGAGAGGACTCGGGGGAGTCTGAGAGGGTCACCTGGTCCATCCTCCTGGCCCTGCGGGACCAGATTGTCCCAGACTGTCCCAGTCTGCTCTTGTGGGGTGGAGCCTGTGTCTATTTCAAGGAGGGAAACATCATAGCTCTGCAATAGGATATGCACTCATTTATATCCGTTCTTCTGTGTCCCATGCAACCATGCAGCCACCTATGCATCCACGCATGCATGCAGCTACCCATCTATGCTTCCATCCATCCTATTTGAGCCAGACCTCGAGAACTAACAACCTACCCAGAGAAGAGGTCATAAACTGGGGCTTTGAGGGTCATGGCCAGCCCCAGCCGCCTTCTGCCTTCTCCACCGGTTGTAAAAGGCAGTGACATTTCGGAATGCGCAGTGCTCACCAGACGGAAGGGAGGAAAGGGGATTCCAGGCACAGGGAGCACCATGTGCAAAGGCATCACCCAGGTGTGCAGGAACATGGTCTGTTTGGCCTGTGAGGTGGATGAGGATGGAGATGAGATAGGGACAGCGTTCTGTCTCCTTTTTAGCCTCATCCACGCAGCCCCAGCAACACTGCTTCCCTAAGGAGGAAGTTCCCCCAAACCCCATGCCTTCTCTATTTCTTCCAACTCTTTGTTCAGGGATGAGTTTTTTGTTTTGTTTTTTTGTTTGTTTGTTTGTTTGTTTTCACCCAGCGTATGCTTCCCAACCACCTTGACTTTTTCTAGAAGTTTTAGAGCCAGGGGTTGCAAACTCAAGTACTTATAGGTCACATACCTTAGTGACTGGGGCCAGGTGTCAGGTGGTAGGGAGTGGTGGGGGTGAAGCAAACTGGAGCATTGTGGGCCCTTCATGGACAGATAATTTTTTCAGCAGAAGCAGGGAAGCCATATTCTAACAAAACATCTTCTAAATTTCCAAAATTCAGAAATTCTGAACGGACCAAATGAAACGTTTTTGGGGGCCGAATCTGGCTCATGGGGCATCTGTATGAAACCTCTGCTAGGGAGAACAATGTCTTAGTTCCTAACTTGCCTCCCTCCTGCCTCTACCTAGACTTTTTTTCTTTTTCTAGAACCCAACTCCTATGTGCCCATCAATTCTGTAAAATACAAAGTGGATTGGGTTGCTCCTTTCCTTAAAATTGCCAATGACTCCCAGTTACCTCTAGGGCAGTGGTCGGCGAACTAACAGAGCCAAATATCAACAATACAACAATTGAAATTTCTTTTGAGAGCCAAATTTTTTAACTTAAACTATATAGGTAGGTATATTGTTATTAACTTAATTAGGGTACTCCTAAGCTGGCCTTTGCTAAAAACGTCCTCAATCTGATTGGTACGTTCGCTGAGGTCGACCCCTTCCAACTCTCTCATCCACACTCGTCCTGTACACTTGTTTCATCTATCTCCTTTCCGAAAACCGACTTCTGCGCATGGGCCACAAAGTTTCAATCGCACTGTACGTGTGCGCCCGCACGTGGTATTTTGTGGAAGAGCCACACTCAAGGGGCCAAAGAGCTGCATGTGGCTCTCGAGCCGCGGTTTGCCGACCACTGCTCTAGGGTAACTATCCTGGCGTTCAACCCCTCAGCCTATGGGGTCCCCTACTGAAGCCGCCTCTTCTCTATTCAGCCTTGACCTCAGCCAGTGTGCCTAAAACATCTGCTTCCTCACACCTCTGCGCCTTATACACTTCGCTTCCTGTCTAGAATATTTTATTCCCCAAACAAGGGATCCTCCAAGATACCTCCTCTATATCCCCCTTTCCTCTCTCACCCCTCCCTGTCCCACCAGTGTTCCCAAGTTTCAAATTTCACTCTAATTTTGTTCTAATCCTCTTCATGTAAGGCCTTATTGCCTCAAACAAACTAATGGAGAAGAATGAGCCATAGGGCCAGCAGTAGAGGGAGGCTAGAGAAAGAGGAAGAGGGAAGAAATGTTTTCTTTTTTTCCTTTCCTTTCCTTTCCTTTCCTTTCCTTTCCTTTCCTTTCCTTTTGTTTTCTTTTCCTTTTCCTTCTTCCTTCCTCCCTTCCTTCCTTCCTTCCTTTCTTCCTTCCTTCCTTCCATGTTTTCAGCCCAGCAGTCATGGCTCAGTGGTTGATCGTCAACCTATGAACCAGGAGGTCACGGTTCGAATCCTGATCAGGGCACATATCGAGGTTGTGGGCTCAGCCCCCCATGTGGGGTGTGCAGGAGGCAGCCGATCAATGGTTCTCGCTCAACATTGATGTTTCTATCTCTCTCACGCTCCCTTCCTCTCTAAAATCAATTTTAAAATATTTTTATTGATTTTTTTAAAGAGAGAGATGGAAACATCGATGAGAAACATCAATTGGCTGCCTCCTGCACGCCCCCTACTGGGGATCGAGCCTACATCCTGGGCATGTGCCCTCACTGGGAATCGAAAGGTGACCTCTTGGTTTGTAGGTCAACGCTCAACCACTGAGTCACGCTGGCCCAGCTCCATTGATTTTTAGAGAGGGTGGAAGGGAGGGGATAGAGGAGAGAGAGAGAGAGAAAGAGAGAGAGAGAGAGAGAGAGAGAGAGAGAGAGCATGACAGAGAGAGGTGTTCCTGGCTTGTCGGCCTGCATTATGAAGGTCTTGTTGAATAGGAAGAACCCCTCCCCCATGGCCACCATCATGCCCAGGATGTTGCTGCTGGTGACCAGCCCCTACAGCATAATCAGGGACCTGGTGGCAAGGTGACTGAGCAGCTCAGAGCCGATTGGGTGTAGGGAGCTGAAGATGATGACATTTTGGGGGAAGGTTACAGAAGAAGCTGCTGACAGGAGCTTCACTAGCAGCGGGAGCTTCCAGGGCCCGGGGAGCCCCGGTTAAGTAATTGCTGAGGAGGGAAACCAGGAATCCCTCCAGAACCTTCGAGGGTCAGACGGGACAGCGGGCAGCACCGCCGGGTACACAGCAGCTGGGGCGAGGGAGCTCTGAGTCTCTCCGTGCCTTTCTGGAGGGTTTCCGCTGAAGTGAGAAACACAGTGTTCCAGCGAGAGTTCTGATGAGTTCCCACCTCTGATGTGGAAATGCAAGTGTGACCCAGCCAGCAGGATGCCACTGATGCTGGCAAGCGCCCTGCCGCCGAGTGGGGAGGGAAGGCCTGCCCTTTGTGATGGCGCGGAGCTGCTGAGTCCGACTTGCTGCTTTGAAGGGAATTCTGTTTCTGCAGCTAAAAGCCTGCCGACTGATACTGATACGAGGAGAATGTCTCAATGATGGGGTGTTGCCCTTGGGAACAAAATGCAGGAAATGGGCCTGGGGTGGGGCCAATAACGGGAATTCATCCTCCTCTGTCACTTCTTTCTTTCTTTTTTTAAATTAAAAACATCTGACACAATTATGATAAAATGTTTACATTGATTCTAGCTGTGGATCTGCACAGGTTTTCACTTTTCTGTATTTTCTTTCCAAGTAATTAAAGCCTATTCAGTGGAAGTGTTTTTATTTTTATTTATTTTTTTAAAAAAATATTTTTATTGAGAGGAAGGGAGAGGGAGAGAAACATCATTGATAGGAGAGAATCATTGCTCAGCTGCCGCCTGCACACCCCACACTGGGGATCGAGCCTGCAACCAGGCATGTGCCCTACCTGGGAATTGAACCGTGACCTCCTGGCTCATGGGTTGATGCTCAACCACTGAGCCACGCCGGCCGGGCTGGAAGTGTTTTTAAATGGGATCTTGAAGAAAACCCCAAATAACGTTTTCATTGTGTGATTCTGTTTCCTAAAACCAGGTCCAAGAACCATCTAAAATGACCTCATTTCTGCCTCGGAGAAGCATGGGAGCGGGGAGTACATCCGACCGCCTGGTCCCCTGGCATCCCTGCCCGTTGCTCTGGCGGCTCTGAATGCTGGTGCCCATGGGACGGGATGTGGCTGTTTCTCTGGAAGGTGTGGAGTGAGGCCTGGATGGGTCCCCTCTCCTCTCCACTGTCTTTCGTTCTGGGGAGCGGGGGCCCCTGTCCGGGACCCTCAGAACCCAGGCAGGGCTACTCAGAGTGGGTCCAGTCCCCAGTCCCCTGGGGAACAGGCCGCCTTCCTGGCACCCCCGGGACCGTAGGCCTTCGGGAGGAAACGGCGCTGTCTGGTACACCCCTGGGGCTGGCTTTGAAAATGTCCTAGTTTGGATTTCCCAGAAACAGATTCTGCACAAGCCGGTTTGAGAGCAAACAGTTGACTTGGCGGGTGATCCCGGGGAGGCCAGTGGAGAAGAAATAGGAAGGCAATGACCAGGGGCGCGTTGTCAGGCAGGTTACTGCTGCAAGCAACTGGCGGCGAACCCCATGGGGGCTCTCAGAGCCAGTGTAGAACAGGGGTCCTCAAACTACGGCCCGCGGGCCACACGCAAATACAAATATTGTATTTGTTCCCGGTTTGTTTTTTTACTTCAAAATAAGATATGTGCAGTGTGCATAGGAATTTGTTCATAGTTTTTTTTTAAACTATAGTCCGGCCCTCCAACGGTCTGAGGGACAGTGAACTGGCCCCCTGTTTAAAAAGTTTGAGGCCCTAACCGGTTTGGCTCAATGGATAGAGCATCGGCCTGCAGACTCAAGGGTCCCAGGTTCGATTCCAGTCAAGGGCATGTACCTTGGTTGCGGGCACATATCCAGTAGGGAGTGTGCAGGAGGCGGCTGATCGATGTTTCATCGATATTTCTAACTCTCTATCCCTCTCCCTTCCTCTCTGTAAAAAATCAATAAAATATATTAAAAAAAAAAAAGTTTGAG